TGTCACGCTCCTGCCCCTCTTGCTTCCTGTCATGCTTTTATTTTCACATTACTTCCTGTTTTGTTTCACCTCAGTTTTGGCCCTTTTATTTAATCATCATTAGTTCACCTGCTCCTTATTGTTTGCACCTGTTTTTTACTTCTATTTAGGCAGCGTCCTCCCACCAGGACGCTGCCAGATTGTTCTAGACCCCAGCTCTGAATCTCCAGCATTTATACCTTGCCTGACTCTCTGTTTCTGACCTTGGATTACCGTTTTTTGACCACTGTGTTTTGTCTATGCCCTCCCAGATTCTGTTCGCCTGCAGTGTGCCGACCTTCTGATTTTTGTCCCCCTTGACCTCGAGTTTGGATCCCCTGGCTATACCTGTTTACCGGCGCCGACCCTGGACTGTCTTATCGACCTGATTGATATCCTGGACTTTGTGTTAGTTGTTTTGCTTACAACAAGTAAAGAACTTGTCGCTACCTCGGTTCGTCTGGTTTTCTAATTGAGTTCACCACAACCTCTGTTTGGCATATGTACATGCCAAACCTGACAAAAATATTGTGACATAACTTTTTTCCAACTGAGCCCTGCCCACTTAAAACAAGCATGAACAGCACAGGTTAAACATAAATGGCAAAATGATCAAAGTCTATCAGTGTTTGGCAGAAACACGCTCATGTCACAATCTACTGCTCATAGTAAGATGCTGACTGGGAAAACAGGTTTTGAGGGCCTTCACTAGAATTCTATTTTAAGGAGCATAAGACATTACTCATCATGACTAAATGACTGTTTAGGATAGCTATTTTTGCTGTATTTACTCCAGAATGTCAGCTGTCTGTTTGGCAGGCCATCTGCATGGTGTTACTGTAAGGTAAGACCATTTGATGTGTTCTGGCTTGTTTCAGAACATCCGCACTGAAGCTCGTATCTCATCCAGATACTTTTCATTATCATCTCTGCCAGTGAAGCTGGTTGTGAGACAAGTTCTCACAGAGCTGGCCATGCTGTGGTGTGCCTGATTAGGTTCTGGATGTTATAAATAATTTTCAGTGTTGGCAGTGAGCCCAGTGTGTGGGACTGGTGACTAGTTTAGTGGCAAAACCAAACCCAGAAGGACTACTGGTGAATTGGTTTCACAACAGGTAGGTGGGTCAAAGGATGGCTAATTGTGTTCAGTTTGGTTGGTTCATCCAACACTTTGGTCCAAATCAATACGTCTCAGCAACTAATGTCCACACTTTCAAGAAAACTGGTATGAATATTGATGCACATTCACATTTTTCTAGGAATTCAATAATTTAGCTTTCTATTAGTTTTCCAATGATGTTATTATACTATTATGCAGAATGTATTAAAAAGTTTTCAAGTAATTCATTATTGTGGGAATTGTTCAGTTTTCCAACACAGACCATGTATGGTGTGACTTGTATGTAGCTGTCATTGCTACAATAACCAGCTGACAACCATTAAGCTCAAAACAGATCTGGTTCAATCATCAGAAATCAAAGTAATAGGCAAAATAATATTTTGGAAGATTTATCCTCCTTCTACTGAACACTGCATTGAATGTATATATTCATTTAAATGTAGGCAAATGCAGCATCTCTGCTTATAGCACATTAAATACAGGCATCACTTAAGCTGTTAATTGCTGGATCAAAGAAACTCAGTGAAACACACATACCAGTTTGTTGATTTACCTCAGCTTTGCTCTGCTTTGTGTTCGTAGGATCTTGCAGGTGTGTGTGAGTCTCATCCACGCTAACCAGCTTCAGTTTGAGACAGGACACCTCGTCCATCAGATCCAGCTTCTCAGTCTCCAGTGAGGTCCTGTTTATCAGCTCCTAAAGAAATAATACATACACTGTGAGAAAAACAATTGAACAACTTTTAAAATCCATACCTACAGAAAACATCAAACACACACATACAATGGAGGTCAACTCAGTGAAAAGTCAGCATGCTACTCCGCTCGGTACAACATTGTGCCCACACTGACAGAGCAGGCCAGGCTGGGGCCCTAGACCCCATAAAGCTAAATATACACGTTCAGCCACACAAACATGCACACACACAGGAGAGCTAGGGACTCTATTAATATATCTTTGTGCTTCTTTGGTATGGGAGAGAGAAAATGAAAGTGTGTGCATGTGAGAGATAGAAAGAGGATATGCAGCCCACTTGAACAAAAGTCACGCCCACATTGCCACTGCTCAGTGTGTCTGTCTGCTTTCATTTCCTCATCTGATTTACTTCTAATCCCACTTCCTTGTTGCTAAATGCAAACCTAAGTTGCTTGGGTTGTTGTTTAAGCCTCCGACATCCATTTTCTTGCTCCATTGTTGTTATGATCAAATAGCTAATGAATGTTCATGGGAAGACCCAGGACACGCTGAAGGAACTATGTCTCTCGGCTGGCCTGGGGCCTTGGCATTCCCCCGGAGGAGCTGGAGGAAGTGTCTGGAGAGAGGGAAGTCTGGGCATCTTTGCTTAGACTGCTGCCCCCGCGACCCGGTTCAGGATAAGCAGAGGAAAATGGATGGATGGATGTTCATGGGTTCTACAACTAACTAATCTAAAAACTAGAATTACCACTTTGTTGATGTACTGTATGCCTCCACCAACCAAAGTCACAGGTATGGGGCAAACATTAGGTCACTGACCTTGACCTTTGACCACCAAAATCTAATCAGTTCATCCTTGAGTCCAAGTGGACACCTGTGCCAAATTTGAAGAAATTGCCTCAGGCTGTTCCTGACATACAGTGCCTTGCGAAAGTATTCGGCCCCCTTGAACTTTGCGACCTTTTGCTACATTTCAGGCTTCAAACATAAAGATATAAAACTGTAATTTTTTGTGAAGAATCAACAACAAGTGGGACACAATCATGAAGTGGAACGAAATTTATTGGATATTTCAAACTTTTTTAACAAATAAAAAACTGAAAAATTGGGCGTGCAAAATTATTCAGCCCCCTTAAGTTAATACTTTGTAGCGCCACCTTTTGCTGCGATTACAGCTGTAAGTCACTTGGGGTATGTCTCTATCAGTTTTGCACATCGAGAGACTGAAATTTTTGCCCATGCCTCCTTGCAAAACAGCTCGAGCTCAGTGAGGTTGGATGGAGAGCGTTTGTGAACAGCAGCTTTCAGTTCTTTCCACAGATTCTCGATTGGATTCAGGTCTGGACTTTGACTTGGCCATTCTAACACCTAGATATGTTTATTTGTGAACCATTCCATTGTAGATTTTGCTTTATGTTTTGGATCAGTGTCTTGGTGGAAGACAAATCTCCGTCCCAGTCTCAGGTCTTTTGCAGACTCCATCAGGTTTCCTTCCAGAATGGTCCTGTATTTGGCTCCATCCATCTTCCCATCAATTTGAACCATCTTCCCTGTCCCTGCTGAAGAAAAGCAGCCCCAAACCATGATGCTGCCACCACCATGTTTGACAGTGGGGATGGTGTGTTCAGGGTGATGAGCTGTGTTGCTTTTACGCCAAACATAACGTTTTGCATTGTTGCCAAAAAGTTCGATTTTGGTTTCATCTGACCAGAGCACCTTCTTCCACATGTTTGGTGTGTCTCCCAGGTGGCTTGTGGCAAACTTTAAACAACACTTTTTATGGATATCTTTAAGAAATGGCTTTCTTCTTGCCACTCTTCCATAAAGGCCAGATTTGTGCAGTATACGACTGATTGTTGTCCTATGGACAGAGTCTCCCACCTCAGCTGTAGATCTCTGCAGTTCATCCAGAGTGATCATGGGCCTCTTGGCTGCATCTCTGATCAGTCTTCTCCTTGTATGAGCTGAAAGTTTAGAGGGACGGCCAGGTCTTGGTAGATTTGCAGTGGTCTGATACTCCTTCCATTTCAATATCTGTTCACAAATGCTCTCCATCCAACCTCACTGAGCTCGAGCTGTTTTGCAAGGAGGAATGGGCAAAATTTAAGTCTCTTGATGTGCAAAACTGATAGAGACATACCCCAAGTGACTTACAGCTGTAATCGCAGCAAAAGGTGGCGCTACAAAGTATTAACTTAAGGGGGCTGAATAATTTTGCACGCCCAATTTTTCAGTTTTTTATTTGTTAAAAAAGTTTGAAATATCCAATAAATTTCGTTCCACTTCATGATTGTGTCCCACTTGTTGTTGATTCTTCACAAAAAATTACAGTTTTATATCTTTATGTTTGAAGCCTGAAATGTGGCAAAAGGTCGCAAAGTTCAAGGGGGCCGAATACTTTCGCAAGGCACTGTATGTACAGATAGACAAACAAAACCTGAAACCATAATGCCTCCACCCACAGCTCTGGCTGGCATGGAGGCATAATAAAAATGCCACAGAAAATGAGATTAAGTGTTGTGGGAACTGTCAACTTTATGGTGGTGCTAAATGAAAATCCGGAGATCACCTAAGTCATCATGATTCAGCGGTTGGTGAGATATTTCAGTCTGGACCAAAGTGGAGGGTTGACCACCCAACAGACAACCATTGCCATTCATACATTCATACACATATAAATTAATATTTACTTATTTCCATTAATAAATATTCAAGGTTAAATTTACAGTATATGTTTGTTTGTCCCCCTTAATGTGGATGTGTGGATACTGTACACTAGATACATTAGAAGGGTACACTTGCATACCCTCCAAATGGAAAGATCACATGGTAAAAAAAAAAAAGTCAATTCAGAGACAGACAGCACAAACCCCATAATCACTCCAGCTCAGCAGCATTACTCACACTCACACAAACACACAGTCTATACAGTTATGACAGCTGCTTGTCAGTTTGCAATTTAACACCAGTGCCACTAACAGCAGAATAAGCCGTGGTCTTCAGAGATAATTTATCAGACCTCTGGGGTCAGGTCCACAATGCAGCTGCCTGACATTTGCTTTCTCTTAATTATGAAGAGCAGCATGTGATAAATTGTCATCCACTCTATAGTATTTATAGACCTCTTTAAGAAGGCTGCACTCTTCTCCAAAACTGAACTGTGTTAAATATGGACTTAATTTATTTCAGCTTATCCCATTCTTCCTAGAAGATCCACTCAATCTCCATCTATTTGGATGGGAAGTGTCTGTAAATGACCTTTTTCAGGTCTCTCCACAGACGTTCTGTGGGGTTTTAGTCTGGGCTTTGGCTGGGCCACTTAGGGCCAGTCAGAGACTGGTCCTGAAGCCATTCCAGTGCTGTCTTGGCTGTGTG